CTGGTTCCACTAGAGGGCAGCACTTACATTATGTTGAGGTTCCATATGTTTCTTACTATATTTGGACCCTCGAAACAACTTTGTATTTAATTGTTCATATGTTTTTCTACGTCTCATCAGTAAACATGGCGCAAATATTTCGGTCAAATTAGTGCACAGTTTGATAAATAGATAGCAGTTAATAAATGTTAAATATTTAATATTCATTTTTTTCCTGACAGGAAAAGGAAACACGTTTTTCCTTCCGTATTTATTTACTCTTTACACATAAAGACAAACTGCAGTTTTCAACAATCTGTGCTGAGGAGAGAAAGTGCTCTGTTTTTTTCTTCTCCACATTAGTATGTGGAGAAAAAAAACTAGCACTGCACATGCTCCCTGAACACATCATGGTAAAACATGGTGGTGGTGGCATAATGAAGTGGAATTGGGATTGCTCATCTTCAGCAGGAACAAGGATTCTGGGGATAGAACTATTACATGGCAAACCTGGAGGAAAACTTGCTTGAGTTTGCAAAGACTCAATGCTGGGGCAGAAGTTCAAAAGTCCTAAACATACAGTCTAAGCCATACAGTGGTTTAGATGCAAGTGTTAAATTGCTCCAGTTAAAGTCCACAGCTAAATCCGCTCAAGATCTTTCAGTACTTGAAAATGTATATTCTCATCTACTCTTGATTCAGACTGACTGAGTTCAGCTACTTTCCAAAGAACAGTCAGTGAAAAGTCAGTTTCCAGAACAGTGCAGGTGGTAGAGAAAAAAGAAAAACAAGCAAACAAAATGCAGCTAATCGTAGCAAGAAATATTGATTCAGGGCAAGTTGCAATGAAATGTATGCCACACTTTTCAGATTTTAATTAGTAACAATTTCGACCTAATTTTACTTCTACTTCCACTTCAGACAGGCCCGACTCAATGTTGGTCTGTCAAGGAAAACTGGTTTGTGGTTTCACAGTAAGAAAAGAGTAAAGGTTTAAGAGCATAAATCATTTACTTTATTAAAGTTTCAGTAACTTTTATAAAGAATCTGTTTTTACATATTTGTTAAAACTGCCACTGTGTTGTGAGACAGACAATCTGTGAAAAGATCGATCTACGCCTCCTTCCTGAGCTTCTATTGCCTTCTAAAGAAATGTACAGCTCCCGACAAAAACAACCAATCAGAGCCAGGAGGAGGGTCTTAGCACTGTCAATCAATCTTATGTACTCGCTACTAAATGTGTTAATGTCACGGAAAACCATTCATCCGCTGTTATTAGTGGGTATACTAACTAGCCTTAGCATTCACAACAAGCTATGCTAGCTGCTGTGGAGCACAGAGCAAGGAGGGGAGAGGAACGGAGGACCATCACCACCACATGGCGAGTGATTGACAGCGTTAAGACCCGCCTCTTGACTCTGATTGGTTGTTTTTAATTAGTACTGGGAGAAGGCAGAGGTGCTTGATTTTTTTCACATATTGTCCGTCTCATCCTGCCTCGACATAATGACAGTTTCAAGACATAGGTGAAAAACATTTTTTTTAAATAAAAGTTACATGCTGCAGGTTTAATACTGTGTGTAACTGAATATTTAAAATAAAAAAAAGTTGGACTTTTTCCTCTTAAATTAACGCCCTTTGTTTTCCTGGGACATCAAACGAGGTCGCATTATACTTGACTTTTAACAAGAAATATTTAGTAAGGAAAGCAGCATTAAATCTACCTCCCCCTGAAGGGACTGAACTATAAACGCGTCCAGATATTTCCACAGAGGAGCCGCCGCGCTCAGTGAAACCCCCTGTGGTCAGACCGACCGACTCTCCCGGAGCCTCGGGCTGGGAAATCAACAACGGGAGGAGGGGACGGAGGGCCACTGCATGCTCCGCTTAGTTGTTTTTTTTTTTCCCCCTCTAAAAGCCTCCGCGATCCGATCATGTATTAACCAGCAGCAGCAGGAGCGACGGGGGTCAGTGCGCACAGGCCCGCCGGGGGTTCATCATTAAGCTCGGTCAAGCCACAAGTTCCTGCTGCTGGAAGGTGAAGCAAGGAGACGGTTGATGCATGACACCAGAAATGAGAGCGATCTCTGGAGATCCCATAGCAAAATTTGGGATGTTTTGTCTATATTTATTAAGGCAGAGAGGGGGGGGCAGATCTGCGAGGCGCGTTTGATTTAAACGTCAGAACAGCTGAATGCAAATATTTCCATGAACTTCATTCTCTCCAGTTGTAGTTTTCAAACTAATAGTCTACTTTTCATAAAAACGATCTGGTTATTAGCAGTTTCCCTCGAGTAAAGAGAAAAATAACCTTTATTTTCTACTTCTTGTTTTCTACGCAGTCAGATCGTAATCTTTAAACAGAATCGCTTAACATTTAAAAGAAATGAAAGCGCGGTCCCTTTCACAGAACCTACTGCCTTCTTTAGTAGCCTTTAGCTCTAAACGCCTAATCAACAACTTGTTTTACCTCATAATTTCCATCGGTAATGATTTTCTAATGCAACCTGCACGCAAACGAGCGCATTAAAGCGGATAATAATTAACTGGTGTGGCGCACAAAAGGGAAGCAGGGCGGCGTTTTCCCGCAGGTCCGTTCCCATTCACAGAGGACAGAAACTGCGGCGACGTCCAGACGCTGTCAGGGCAAATTTAAAGGACTTTTTTTGGTTAAAAATCCAGAAATGAAGTTTGCGTGCAAACAAATCAGCGCTGGCTTGATTTGAGCCAAAGCTAAATCAATGTCAGGATGGAAAAACGAGCCTTATCTTTACTGCAGTTCGCTGCAGATGAAAGCTGGGAGACTTGCTACTTTATAAATGACCTTTGGAAACAACGCACTCTAAGAACCGCCTATATCCACACTGATGAAATCAAACTGTAAAAAATAGCAATTGTTTTTGTTTGATTTCAGTAGATTCAACTATTATCGTTTTTTTTTTAAATGGACTCAATAAACTAAATTCTAATTAAAATAACTTTTGCTCACCTGGTTTATCCTCACACGTTAAAAAGAAATAAAACAACTTGTAAATAAATGTTACTGAAATAGTTCTAAACTTTTAATTCCAACAAATCTATTTTTTGAGAACCACAGCTAAGAGCTCTTCATTAGCAACGTTTTCTGCTAATGTGTAAAGACGTTTGTTAGCACTGTTGCTAAGCTATCTAAACTGGACTTAAACTTAACTTCTTGCGCCAAAAAATAAACATTATCAATCATGACAGACCCTCAAACATAAAAGACATGAATATTTACCAAGTTGACACACACAGTGATAATTCAACACATTATATCGGCCTTAATGTTTTCAACGTACATAAAGAACGAGAATAATGCTAGCCGGAATTCAAACCAAAATCTGCAGACAGGATTCATCAGCAAAACAAATCAATGTATACAAATTTTTATATTTTAAATAATATTTATTACAATCTAAAGTACTTTTTTGCAAAGGTTTGGTTCAAGCTCCAAAATTAAATACATTTTCAAAGTAGTAAATAAAAAAGCTCATGAAGCAAATGGAAAAACGTATAATCCCATCTATACTTTGGTCAAACATATCTAGCTCTAATTTTTGCTAACTTTTTGAGGTTAAAGGTTAAAGTTGTCTTCTTGTAGTCTCTTTAACCCAACAAATACAACACAATGTTTTGGTTTAAACTAACTTAACTCCTACACAGTTTCATCAACTCAGCATTTGGGTTAAAAAATGAACAGTTGAAGTACTTTTCTGTAAATTAAGGCTAAGATATACAGGTGTTACTGCTACTTTGCTTTTTAAATTTGCTTTAGGTTCAATAAAAATCTGACCTCATGGAACTTCTTCCACAGGATGGAAAGCAAAAATGGTTAGACATAAGCTCACACTAGAGAATGACTATATTAATTTAAAATAACAATAGCCTTTTATCCGCTAAGCAGCTAGTAGAAGCTTACCAATGATTAGCATCCACACATTGACCAATAGGGAGATTCTCAGAAGCCATGTTTGTTTCTAGTTTATGGTTTCATAATTATGGTTCAATATTAACAGTTTTAGTGGCATACATTCAATAATTAGTTCAGTTTTGGAGTTTTAAACAAAGATGCACTGTAAAAACTTAATTTTGATGGTAATAACTAGCCATTGAATAATGCAAATCTCAATCAATGGATTTTTTTGTGACACAAATCATGTAAAGCTATTTTTTTTAATTATTTTGTTCATCAATGAATAAATATCAAGAAGAGTTCAGAACTGATCTGAAACTCCTGGTTCAGAAGATTTCTGTGTTGGAGCAAAGAATCCTGCTATGGCCAGTTCTGGATAAACCAAACCTTTAACAGACTTTGTGAGAATAAACAGTCTTGATATATATTTTTTAGATTTAAAAAAATTATATAAGTACATTTAAAACATTGCTGAAATGTAGCTAATTTATTGAAGTCATCAAACAGTTATTTGTTCTTTGAAATATGCATTGAAATCTACATAAAATGCAGAGTTTCATAATTTGGTTCAGTTTTAGCTGTTATTTTTATTACAGTGCACAGAGAATAAAATACATTTCTTATGAATCAAGTAGTGATAGTGTTATCCAAATGTAGCAGCATTTTCATATAACCTAAAAACGCGACTTGCTTAGAAATCAAGGTTATGTTCTTTTTTTTTACTTTTTCATTTCCATCCACTCTTTATCAGTCTCATTACATAGTCACTAGCCTTTGAAAACTTATTCTAGTATGAGTTAAACCTATAATCTGCCTACGTCCTGGATTACTTCATATTGATGGATATGCACAATAAAACAACTGGGGTTGCTTTAACCTAGCAGTTTCACAGTGTAATGAAGCCACACACTCTAAATTTGCAAAAGTAAAATGAAAGCAGAGGAGTAGGCAAAACATTTACTGAAAGCCAAATAAAAAATAAATACATTCATTTTGTCCTGGGGTAAAAATGGAGAGAGAGAACAAAATATTTGAATGTCACTTTAAAGAAAAATGACTCTGATTTAATGTTTAAGCTGCTCTACTGAGTCACCTTTCATTTCTCCTCAGTCAACCTTCTAAATAGTGGCTCCTAACTTCCACTGAAACAGCTTTCACACGGCAGACTGCCTCTACGAACAGGAAAAAAAAAAAAAAACACACGACATATTAAGCCTGAATGTGCGCCCCAATGAGCGCCTAATTGACTGGACACATGTGCTGCCTGTAACTAAGCTGGTCCCGGGTTCCTGTGATCTGTGGAGCAGGTACTCCGGGAGACCAATTGGCAGGAGCTCCGGTCCAATCAGCTCCCTTCCTGCGCAGCGTAAAGCCACTTGGGGCGAGCGTGGAGGGCCGCTTGCTCTCGGTGCGCATTTGTGAACAGACGCCCTCTGGGAGCGCACAGACTTGCGGCACTGTTGAGTTTTCTAGCAGCATCTTCAGAGGGTTAGATTGTGCAGGCAGCCCTCCTCCTCCTCCTCCCCGCCCCACCTTTTCCACCACCCGCGGACACCCCACCATCCTTCGGTCAAGATGCAACTTTAAGGAGCGAGAGGAAGTTAAGAACGACGATCCAGTTTTGTTCTTCCTGCCTAGAGATGATGTTCTCTTCCGCCGGGAAGCGCTGCTTCACGATAGAGTCTCTGGTCGCCAAAGAGAGCCCCCTGCCAGCCGAGGACCCCATCCGGCCGACGGCGTTGAGTTACTCCAACCCGACCACAGATGCCTTAATGAACGGCTACCAGGCTCCGGCGGCCAGGCCTCTCTACCAGAGCCCGGAGCTGGTGTTCCCGGAGACGGTGAACCACCCGTCCCTCACCGTGGCCCCGCACCAGCTCGGAGGCTCCCACCTACAGCATCCGCACTTCTTCGGCACGCAACACCGGGACCCGCTCAACTTCTACCCCTGGGTGTTACGGAACAGATTTTTTGGACACAGATTTCAAGGTACGGAAAAGAAGAGGAGATGGAGAGAGATCGCGCTGAGGTGAAAGATGTACGATCAGCAGTAGTCTGCCGGAAGTTTGTTGCGTAAATGTGTTGACTTGAGAGTGAATATTTTCTTTAGATAGCTTCTTAAGATTTTTTTTTGTTTGTTTCAAAGGTAAGAGATTCTTGTTTGCAAAGTGAAACAGCAGAGAATGGGAACAGATGAGCATTGGTAATATCCGGAAGCCGCTGTCAATTTTTTTCTCCCTCTTATTCTTAAAAATCACAACAGAAGAAGAGAAAAACAAACTGGTTGTCGTATAACTCTTTTCCTGTCGTAGACATTTTTATAATAACAATAATAATAATAATAATAATAATAATAATAACAAATATGTACCACTCAAATATAGGCGAAATATTAATAGTAATAGAAATAATTCGGCGTCTGTGCATAATTATCTATTGCATCTGTTATAATTAATGTGAAAAAATTAACATTCTACGCATGTGACAAATTTCTTGAAGAATTTCATAATGATAATTTTCTATTTTGCAATTTCTTGAAATGTTATCAGAAACAAAACAAAAAAAGAGAAAGAAATCCCGATCAAATTTAAAACACTGCTTCTAAATTTTGTAAACTTTCAGTCATCCAAAGGCGTCCTGATTTCACATTAAAGTTCACATTTCACATTAAAAATAGGTTTTTACTGTGTTTTACTATTCTTAATGGGTTAAAGCAAAAGAAAAACTGTAAATATTAAAAAGTTCTGATAAAAGCATGTATGTAAAAAAATAAATAAATAAACGGAAGTGTGCAATGTTTAGTGGATTTAAATGAAAATCCTGAAAAAAATAAAGGAAAAAAGTAAAATAAAGATAAAAGAGAAATGTAGCATTTCGAAATGCGGTTTTTCTATTAAATTATATTCTTATTACATCAAATGTTTTAGATAACTTTTTTGTCCTCTAAAACGACAAAATAACTATTACAATTTACTTGCGTCATACTTGGAATGTGATAATTAACTCTGCTATAGTTGACTTTATGTTCCGCTAACTGCGTAGTTTATTCCGAAATTAGAATCTAATGCTGGTGTTAAATAGGGCTGAAAAGGAAAGGAAAACATTGAGCGTTTGAAGAGTAAGTAAAGAGTAAAATGTGATGTAAAAAGTGAAATTCGCCAACACTTCAAAACATACTAGTTGCTCCAAGTACAAAAAGATCATTGCGTTTTTACGCCGCAGTCAAGTGGCTGTTTAGGGTTGGATAATTATGGTCCGGTTAATTGTAGAAAAATAGGACTTTCATAGGCAAGTATGTTGAGTTCACAGACTTCAGCTTTAACAAAGTCGCTGAACGTAAGACCTGGTTTGCTCAACTGGATCACATTCTGAATAAATATCTTATTTGGACGTTTTCTCAGTTACAGTTCAGACTCTAGACATGTTCCTCTTTTCTCTGTTTACCCAACGACACTTTGCTCGAACTGGGAGAGTAACATGCCAAATTGTAACAATGCTTACTTTTTAAAACCAGACCACTAGTGACGGGTGCCATGAGAAACATACGAATTCACATAGCTGATGGTCCGCTAACAAGCCAGAAAAGGTGGATTAGAAACCAAATATTACTCCCGTTTGCATAAAGAAAAGTGGTGGATAAATGGTCCAGAATGTCACAATATTTTTGATAAAATATTAAATGTAAAACAAAACGTTTACACAGAAGTAATAGAATTTGTGCGAGGTAGTCATAGGAGTTAAATTTTTATTTAATTATATATTTTTTTGATCAGGCTTATTCTGATGCCACAAAAAATGCCGCCGTTTTCACTCCATTGTTTTTACTTCAAAATATGCGTTAACATGAACAGAAGTGTCTCAATAGTGTCTAAATAATAATAATAAAAAGGCTTACTAACCGAGAGACAACACAAGGGATATTTAGCTCAAGTGTTTTGACTTTACCTCCAGGTAACGAGGTGTCCCAGGACAGCCTGCTCCTGCACGGCCCCTTCGCCCGGAAGCCCAAGCGCATCCGGACGGCCTTCTCTCCGTCGCAGCTGCTTCGCCTGGAGAGAGCCTTCGAGAAGAACCACTACGTGGTCGGAGCCGAGAGGAAGCAGCTGGCCAACAGCCTGAGTCTGAGCGAAACCCAAGTAAGTTGAGTTCACACTTAGCTCTCGCCTGTCCTGCTTTTGTTTTTGTTTTTTTGTTTGTTTTAAATTAAACTTAATTTTGAGTCTCAATTTTTTTTTACGTCTTACAATTCAACACTTGTTTAGTTTATGAAAGAGCCATAATTAAAGAAATTCATGTTTTTAAGAGTTCATTTTATTGCTGAAATGAGTGCTATAAAAATTAATGATAAAAAACAATTTAAGAAATTAGTGTTAAATGTTTATCGACAAGACAGTTAACAGTTAACCTCTACTTCTTTACTGAGAGCGCAAGGGACTTAAATAACAAAGTGAACGCTATTTCTGTAAAAAAAAAATGTAGAGGAGATGCTCACACACAATAAACAATTTTTTTTACTACATATGTCACACCTGTCAACTAAGAAATATATATAAATATTTTAGTCATCCTGGGCAACACAGCTATCTTGCGTGATATAAAAGTGAAATTGTACTGTTTAGCATTTTAATATGAGGCATGTTAAGCTAAAAGCTGGAATGTTGTGCATTTAGTCAGCATGAAAAGCAGAGATGTAATCTGAACAAGAGGTGAATCTTGCTGAAAACCAATTAAATCAGTGCAGACCACACACATTCATTACAAGCAGATTTGACTCAAGTTTTGAATTACATTTCTCATCTTGGTTGGAAAATGTCAGGTAAAATGTTACGAGTTTTAGCAGCAGGTCAAATTTTGGATTTGACCTGCTGAAACTAAACATGTCATAAATGGTGTCTGAGTATCAAATTCTGTAAATACGGCTCATCCAACAGCCATATAGGTATTTAGGAAAATATTTTAAAAACCTGTAAAAAAAATACAATATTCAAACAAAATATTGATATTTTAAAAACCTGTAGAAAAATACAATATTCAAACAAAAAACCCAGGAGCAAATGACAGCTAATATCTTAAATACAAGTATTTCAAAACAAAAATAAGAATAGTAAATGGCACAGAAAAATCCTGCAAAAACAAAATAGCATTTATTTTTCAAACCTAAGGTTTTGGATGGAGGATGGATGGATGGATGGATGGATGGATGGATAAACCTAAAATACAATAAAAAATGTTTAATACACCCACATACTTTGCTGGTGTTAATTAGAACTTGATGTATTTAGTTAGTGGTGATAGGTTTAGTCTGAGTTTTCCAGAATATTTATTTAGTTAAAGAAGAGAAAAACTATCAGTGACAATGGTGCATTTGAAAAGACAACTCTCAAAAATCAAAATATGAAAATAATAAATGACAATAAAAACAAAGACAGCACAGATAAAAAAGAAATGAAAAGATGATTAAAAAAGATCAAACTAAAAACAAAACATTAAAATATAAAATCAATAATGAACAAGAAAAACAAGAGGAGCAAAAATAGAAACAAAAACATTAAAGATAAAAAAGAGAATTTCTCAAATCCAAATGTAAAATCAGCTAAAGCATAAAAAACAAGGTGAAAATAATGATACAAATTAAAATCAAAAGCAAAGTAAAAAATACTGAAAAACCAAAATTAAACATAATAAAACTGAAAATAATCAAATTTACACTTAAAAGAAAACACAGTAAAAGTATGACAGAGGCAAATCACTGACAAAAATTAGTTTGATCATAAAAATAATCAAATCAACATTAAACCAATTGAACCTCAGATTCCTGTTGTGCAGAACTGATTCTGTATGCCATCATAGTCCTGAACCCTAGATACATGCATATATGTGAAAACATTAATACGATCTTAAGGAGGAAAACTGAGCTAAGCAGTAAAAAAATGCAGCAATTAACTGAAAGAGAAAAGTTCATATAGAAAATAAAACTGATTTAAAAAGCAAGATGTGTATCCAGTTTGGTGAATTTGCTAAACAGAAATAAAATTGTTTGCTGCTTTTTATGTATTTTCTTTCCCCCACGAAAAGTCAGAATCAGAGTTTCTCTGAAGCTTACCATAACAATCCAATTCCTGTTTTTCCTCGTTAGGTGAAGGTTTGGTTCCAGAACAGACGGACGAAGTACAAGCGCCAGAAGCTGGAGGAGGAGGGTCCGGACAGCCAGCAGAAGAAGAAGGGGAACCACCACATCAACAGGTGGCGCATCGCCACCAAGCAGGCCAGCTCCGAGGACATCGACGTGACCTCAGAGGACTGAACCCACACACGGGCCTGAGCGTCAGAGGACCAACACTATTTATTATGTAAGATTATTAAAAGCGTTGTTAGACTCATTAGAGGAAGACTCAAGGATTCCATGTGCGATCACTCCACGTCTTCATCGAGGAGTTTGGACGTCGAGCGCCACCGCGACGACAGCGGAGCATCATTTCATGATGGCTGAAGAGAAAAGTCGTACCCTACAGTACCATGGTGCTCGCTTTTTTCTTTTTTTCTTTTCCTTTTTTGTACATAGGCCAGTAATGAAGGTTAACAAAAAGCTAATTGTTTGATCACTTCCACCTTACTTCACTCGCTTTCACCTGTGCACCACATTAAGTCGAACTCATCCTCGAAAGGAAGCTGTGGTCAGTCAGTGAACATGTTGGTGAAACGGAACGAAACAGAAAACTTCTCAGACTCCTCACCACTTTTATTTTTAGAGACGGTCTTCGTTGTCCTGCTAATGAAGGTTTCCCACCAGCAGGAGGCGACCTGTGACCCCGGGAAGCAAGTTGAGTCGCAATCACGAAATCATCGTCTTTTGCCACCGTGGAACCATCGCCCTAGGCGATGCACAAGACAACACGTCCCCGTTTGTTGCAGATTTTACGAAGCGCCGCGTGTAGAGCGAGACGTGTGCGGAAGCGTGTTTTTCGAGCACGAAATGTATTTACAGACAGACGGCTTTGGAAATAAAAACTTTGAGACGTGCTCCTGTTGCATGGGAGATTGCTGCGTGTTGTTTTAATTGAGGCAGCAGTTTGTTCCCAGCAGCTACAGCAGCTGCAGATTTCACTCATTAGGTTGATGCTCTCCATCTGAGCTAGTGGATGTGCAGACTGCTGTGAAACGTGCTGCTGCAGGGGCTGATAAGACAAACCCCCAAACATTTAAGGCTCAGTGGTGACTGGGATACAGCGACAAAATTATTCATTTTGTCACATTACAAACACAAATCCCTGTGTATTTTATGCAACTGACTTATACAAATTAGCGTATGGTTGTAAAATGGAGGGAAATGAATCCATGGATTTCAAATATTGTTTCAAATAAACAGAAAAGAGTGATGAGCGTTTGTATTCACACCCCTTTACTCTGATAGCACTAGATGAAATCTCTCATCTATTTACAGTCGCCTAATTAGTAAACTGGCTATAATATAATTGTTCCATTTGGAGAAAGAAGTGAAGGACGATTATAAGCTGAAGTATTGGGCTGACAGAATAGGAATTAGCTAAAGCTACAGTTCCAGATTCTGATCAGACTGAAAGAATGTCTCCTAAATGTATAAAATTCACTAAATGTATTTTTATTTCAAAGCAGAATATCATTCGTCTCTGTTTTAATAGTAAAACCAGCACACTGTTTGGTAATAAATTCAAACTTCTGGCTAAATAAACTGTTAAAAGTCAATAACTAACATGTATAAAACCACTTAACAGGCATGCAGAGCTTTCCAAACATTGCAACTGAATTCTTTTGATCTTCACACACGATCCTGGTGTCCTTTGACAGACATTTCAAACTGGTCAGATTTGTGCTGCATTGAAAAGAACAAGGAATCCACAACTTTTACTGACTATTATTGAATTGTAACAAGAAAACTGAGAAAAATAACAAGGCCCAAAGCTATTAGAGATCCAGATTTTATTTTATTAGGTTGCCACGTCTGATGAGGCACAAACCAACTTTTCCAGGGCAAATCGAGAGGGTGTAAACACCTACAACTGGGCGATATGGACTTATATTTTATCACAATACTTTGTGGTACTATTGTGATAATAAAAGTGAATATAAATATTTATTACGGACTTTTTACGTCACCATGTGACTGTGTCACAGCAACAAATAACGCTCTTGAAAAACATTTCCATAATACAATTCTTTATGAAACCAATCACAAAGAAATGTGATTTACATCATTAAACTGCACTTTCAATGTATTGGTATCTATCGATGCTTTTCTTGAACAGACAGTGGAGAAAATACTAAAACCTTTCAAAGTTTTAAACAAAATTAATTGGAATTTATCAGGACTACGATGAATCAAAATTCTTATAAATCTAAGAAATGTATCACAATAAATCATAAACGATATGATAAACGCATACCTTGATCAGGAAGTGTAAGAAGTGTCAGGTGTGTTACCTGTTGGTCAGTACGGATGTGCGAAAAACCTTGTTAATATTCTGCTAATGTTGAAAAAACGCAATTTCACAATTTAAAAATCACATGTGAATAAGTCCATAGAAAAACATAGCGCGACATCATCCTCCAACTACTTCCTGTCGGCTTCTTCTTCGTCGTTTTTGCCAGTAGCAACATCCTGTTATTGATCATGTGACCAATGTGATGGGGAAAAAAAAGTGTCTCCATTGCAGTTTTAGGAAAAATAAAACAATTTTGTTGCGACCGGCAATACTTTTCAATCATAGAAATTAGTTTTTTTTTAAATAAATTTCCGTGTTCCCATTAAGCAATTTTATTCTCGAAATGTCAAACAGCACAAATAAATAGTCAATGGAAACACAGCTAATGTTTCTGAAATTTCAGCGAAACAGACATTTACTAAGCTGCAATAGCTCTCAAAGAGGCGGGACCTGGTTTGGATATTGCTGAAATCTTTTTTAGCAGCAGCTCAAAGCTGCCCGGAAGAAACCACTGCCTAGTGACCCCACGACCTCAGAGGAGAGCTGATGTCTGACCCAGGTGTCTTATTTTGTCAGCGAGAAAGAGGGACAAAAGAGGCAGTAGGTAGAGGTAAAACACACTGCGAAACGCACCCGAAGGGGGTCACACACGGCTTGTTTTGAGTTTTCTCAAGATATCCTATACTCACTGCAGGTGCAGAAACGTGCTGAAAGGAGGCGCGGGGTTATCTAAACAAACATGTTCTGTCGCTCGCCCCGACAGCCGTGACTCTACTACCTCCTCTTGTCAGGAAGGTTTTCTGGAACAGGTTGCGTTCTGGTTTGGTAAAAGATTAGCGCAATTAAAGGGCCTCTTTGTTGTGTGGCCAAGGTAAGAATTAGGTGGAACATCACCTTGGCCTCCCTAAACGCCGCGTCTCCTGTCAGCCAAGTCAGCAGGAAGGGGACCGAGCGGCGTTCCAGGGTGAGAAACGAGAAACTCTCCAGAGGAACAGAGAGGTGCAAAAAAAAAAAAAAAAGGAGATAGGGTGGAGGAGGGGCCTGCTGTTGTTGCCGAAACAGCAATTAGCTTAAGCAAACAATTCTTTCGAATTTCTTACGATCTACAAATGAGCCTAAAAATCTCCCTTTCAGGCTGATGGGTTTGAAAACGCATCAGTTGGCATCCCGACACGACTCGGTGTTAATCTCTGATGCGCTACCAGATGCATTTCTTTGATGCTGACTGATTCAAAGACGTTTCTGTTGATCTGGGCGTCGCCGTCAATGCAACTGCGTCTTGTCGGCGGCAACCCGCTGTGCACTGTTCCCAAGGCAACCGCTCAAACATGCCGATTACACAGATCACAACAAAAGATGGAGCATTTATATAAGCCAAGGGATTAAATAAACACGACGATACGGATCTATAAACTGGCTGAAAAAGTTACTCCAGCACTAATGGCAGCAACTTAGACACATGAGATAAGATGCTGATAAGTCTGTGGAAGTGTTTGCTGAAATGTGTTGATCATGATCTCGTTTGACATGATTTCATCTTGACCTGATTTTGTGGTTAATAGACACGGCTTTGCATATAAACTCAACCAGATTTATGACTTGATAAACTGCATCTTTATAAAAAAAAATAATAAAAACATCTTTCAAGTTTGTTTTCTCATAAAGTGTTTTTGATTTCTTGTTGCCCTCGCTGACGTTTCATCAAATAAATGTTAATATAAGACAAAGATCACCAGATTAAACAGAGCGGTTTTAAAAATGAGCAGAAAAAATAGCAATGTAAATCAAACTATTAGGGGGGAGAATTTATCGTATCGTTTATCACCATAAATTTCTTACAATTCTAAGAATTTTGATTTATTGTTGTCATGATATATTCCAATTAATGACGTTTAAAACTGTCTTTATTGTTGCGTTTCATGGTTTTACTGAAACCCATAATGTTTTATTTAATGCTTTCAGCTCAAGCATCAATAAATGCCAATACATTTGAAAATACCGTTACTCATTTAATCATGAAATAAGTATGATGTCAGTCTTAAAAAAGGCTACAAAACCCATTTCTAAAACTTTGGGATTCCACTTTTGTACCCTGAGGAATTACAGATGAAAACTAACCTATATGACTAACTCCGGCATGTTATATGATGGGCATTGTCCCTTTTGAAATATATAAACAGCAAAACAGTGAGTTAGTTACAGCTGGAGAAAACATGGACCAATGATGAACCTTCTGAGGAGTGGCCAGTCTACCACGATTACTCCAAGAGCACAGCAGCAGTAATACGTTCTAAATCACAGCATGTCAAGTTTGTACGTTGCCTTCCTACAAAATACCGCTCAATTCTCATTTCCCTTCACAACTCCTTCGGGATTTCTCCCATTGAGTTCAGTTCCTCAAGTAGTATTTCAACAAATTGGCCAATCAACCAACAGAAGGAGAAGTTGTGAGTGATGACATTGGTTTTCTGCACCGTTTTAGAATCGTAGCATGTCTGTAGTTATAGCAATGGCAGCAGAGGAAGTAAGCCATTCAGTCCGTGTTGGCCACACCTCCAAATACTGAATTTACATTACCAGTCATCTGGTTTGGCTCGGCACTTCTCTTTTATGCAGTGGAGGATGGTTGTTTAGGAACAGGATTACAGCGTAGGATTTCCTGATTACATAAATTATGGCCAAACGGCAGCGTTTGGGTCAAACTTTAAACTTCAACAGAGTCCACGCGTCCAGGAAACAATCGTTTCTCGATAGCAGAGGGGCCAAACCCTCAGTATGAAATGAAGTGTAGAACAAGGGACAGGGTTTTACCAGGCTACAGTCCACCCTACCAACCTCAGAACAATGCTGATTAATCAACAATAAGAAAAAGACTGAGTAAAACACAACATCTACAGGTGTTGTAGATGTGGATGGACAAGACAAGGTGGTAGTTTGATGATCTGCGTTGCTTTGTTTTTACATCAGAGCTACTCAAACTGTGGTCCCCAGACGCCCCCCAGTGGTCCGCAAGGTACTGCATGTAAAAAGCCTTTCATTTGCCGTGACTTGAGCTCAAAGTGCAACACGTTCAGCTAATTTACTACGAGACCATGTTTAAAAATATTAATATATAAGTGGTGCTAGGCTGGTTCACTCAAAAGAAAAGTTGAAGACACCGGTGGAAAGAAAACAACGCAAAGACGAATCATATGATTGGAAGAATTTATGTCTGCAGGAATAGTTTTCAGATTCTCAGGGTGAATTGCAAAACTTTGGATTACAGCAGCATGCCATGCAGATCTCCCCGTCATTCTCGCTCGACTTTCTCCTTCCACCGACTCGGGTTGGAATACAAAGACGGGTCGTTCTGAAGAGCACTCTCTATCGTATCGTCAACCCAGCTGTTTGTGCTTTCAGAGTAAAGCAAGTTCCAAAACAAAGATATCATCGTCTGAATCAGGCCCGAATTACCAATGTGCATTAAAAAGAAACATGTTTTCAACTCAACAGTCTTAAGGTTGTACCGGGTCTAATTAATTATTGTTCATTTCAAAACCTTACTGAACACTAAACTAACATGAAAAGATAATTCACTTTAAAAAGCGTTACTTAACTTGCTTTTAAATAAGTATAACTTCGTAGTCAATAATCTTGGATCCAGAAACAGCGATGCTTAACGTTACACACTAAGTTTCAGTGAACAGAGGTAAGGGGGCAGACAATGAGGTATGCTCTTTATTGTAAGTATGTGGAATTGAAAAGTTACAAAGTCGGACATTTTCCACCAACCATGGGTTGGCTGTAGCTACAAAAAACATGTTTTTTCAAGTTTATTTTTCGTCCCTTCAGAAAATCCCTGAAACTTTCATTCTGAAAGCGACAACACAACTTTTTTGGTGGAGCAGCAGAGGAAAACGGAATAAAGTTTACTGCTGAGCTGTTAAGGCTTTTCTACATTCACTTTGTTCAAGAAGTTTTGTTTTTTTTGGGGGTTTTTTTCGTAAAAACCTGTAAAAATTCCAAACTATTCTAAAAGTCGACTTATTATCAGCATGGAGTTTTCTGCAAATGTTTTGAGTTGCTTTTTTTTTTTTTTTTTTTAAAGCTGTTAACTTTCCTGTTTTGAACAGGTTGCGCAGCAGCCAGAATTAGCCTTTAAGGCTCGAGTGGTGCACCATTTTTGGCATCAACTCTTAGGTAAGTCTTCGTGTTGTCGCGTTGCTAATACTTCGAAGGCGTTGTGATGTACATTTAGCTGT